AGCTACTCTGTGGGAGAAAGACAGACAGTGATCTCCTTCTATTAGGTTTACAGCCTCAGAAACCTGATGGAGGCTTACCATGAGTCAGAATGGACTTGGGTTTGGTTTTTCGGTTTAGCCAGTTGTGTGCTGAGAGTTACAAAGACAATGGCTGAGAAGAACCACATCAAGTTAGTGACTCCACTGTACCTCTTGTTAGTGACACTGGGTTGATCTTTCTTTGAGTGCATATTCCCCTATCCTTCATCCAACACAAAGTACTTTTCTGTCCTCTGCATGCTTTAGTTTGGAAATTGTTTTTTACTTGACTGTTAAATCACTAATCCTATTTTATATTGCCTTTAATATGGTGCCAAATTGACTCAAAGAGGTTTTCTTAAGATAAAAATCTGTTTTGGGCTTTTAATATTTCTATCTCTTTATTGTAGCATATCATAGGTGCTAAACATTTTTGGTTTTGTTTTGATACTGTAAAAAAAGATCTTAGTTGTCTTTGACCAGTAGAAATACCCCACACTAATTTCTTACATTCTTTTTTAGTTGTTCATAAATCTTTGCCAGCTGTGATTTTTTATTTTCCTTGTTGTGTACCATTGAGTCTGATCCGACTGGCACAGGAGGAGATTGCCTCTCCTTTCATCTGGTGGATTCCAACCGCACGCCTCCGGGATTACAGCACAACTTCTTGCTAGTAGGCCACCAGAGCTTCCTGTCTGCTGTAATTTTGTTAATTTCTTGCCTTTCTTAGAACCAGCTATTTCTTCATAGAGACTCTTAGTAGATAATTGATTGTGTAGATTATACGTTGAATTTGAAGTGTACTTACTGCTATTTCATTGAGCCAACATCATGGAGTCTACTTAAATAAAACCGAATGAAGTTTATTGAGGGATAGAGACGGTTCAGCACCAGACTGTTCACTGTCACAGAGTGAAAATGGCTGCTCCACTACACCACAATACAGGAAACATTTTTATATTGTTGTATCAGGAGCTAAAGATTACAAAATTCATAATTAGTTGAAATACCAGCAAGGAAGAAAGGTAGGATATCTAAAAGAGAGAATTTATTAGCAATAGGTCCATAACATATAAGTGGGATTCCATGGCTGGTCAAAGGGGCACGTCATTCAGTTTATTACAGGGTGGATACAGGACAGTGGACAGGACCAGGCTAATTTTTTTTTTTAAATCTATTCTTCCTCAGAGAGAAAATGAGAGACATTCTTCCCCAATCATGTCTGTTTATGGAGGTCCATTATAAAGACTGGTAATGGAATATCACGACATCTATCTTTATACTTTGTTTACATTTTTATTTTATGTTGATTTGCATACAAAATTCATATACATTGTGTTTCACACTTTCCTTCATTCACATTGTGTTTCATACAGTCATTCCCATACATTGTGTTTTATAAAGTTAATCCCCATTGAATTATGCCTACTTTTACCCCATCTTCTCAGGCCCCTGCTGGATCTTTTCCATTTTCTTTATCCCCTCCTTCCACTCATCAAATTGTGTGGCCCCGTGATACCCTCCTCTCCCCTTTGCTCCCACCCCTTTCTCTCTTTGACCCTCATATTTGTTTTGCTAATTATCTTTCTATTTTTACAATAATGGTCTTACGCAGTATTTGTCCTAATTAGACTGAGTCAGTTCACTCAGCATAATGTTCTCTAATCTCTCCCAAGTAATGTAATATTTTTTTAAATCATTGCTCCTTCATACTGTGTAATAGTCCATTGTGTGAATGTACCACAGTTTCTCAATCCATTAGATAATGGTTGGGCATTTGGACTGTTTCCATGTTCTTGCAGCCACAACATCCATTTTGAATCTATTTGTCTGTCATAACAAAGATCCCTTGGGAACAGATTTTATATTCTGCCCAGCCAGACTTCAGAGAAATAGAGTGCTGTCCTTGGGGCCTATGGCTAGGTCAGCCGTCAAAGTTAAAGGAACTGCCTTGGAAAGGCTGCTTCTAAAAGACCAACATGGATTCCAGCTCCATGTCAAGACTTTAAAGTGGAGTTTTAGGTTCTACTTTAAGACTGCTCTATTTATACATAAACTAGTGCCTCTGATTTTAGACTCCTACAGTTCCTAGGATGTCCTTCCTAGTAGGAGTTGTACAAGACAAAACTGGAAAATAGCTTTTTTTAAAAAAAATAAAATGTTGTTGTTGTTATGTGCCATCGAGTCGCTTGCGACTCATAGCGACGCTATGTACGACAGCCCTAAACTCTGCTCTGTCCTGTGCCAATCGCACTGTCTCTGACACACCCATCCCGATTA